CTGTCCCGGTTGCCCCTCTTCCAGGCCAGCTCTCTGCTATGGCCAGGGAGTGCAGTGGAGGATGGCCCAGGTGCTTGGGCCCTGCACCCCATGGGAGACCAGGAAAAGCACCTGGATCCTGGCTCCTGCCATCGGATCAGCGCGGTGCGCCGGCTGCAGCGGCGGCCATTGGAGGGTGAACCAACGGCAAAGGAAGACCTTTCTCTCTCTGTCTCTCTCTCTCACTGTCCACTCTGCCTGTCAAAAATAAAAAAAATAAATAAATAAAAAAAAAAAAAAGAAAAGCAATGGATCTAAATATCCATTAGTAGAGAAATAGGAAATATACTAAAATGTAATTATGGAGATATGGAGATACGTTAAAAAATGGGGTACATATATTTGTAGAAGAGCCGTCCCTTAAATATTTAAAAAGCAAGACACAAAGTAATTTATGTATAAATAATATAATCCCATTTATATGTCTTCAAATTAAGTCTTCTGTGTTCCTATAAAGGAGTTTGGAATGATACATGCAACCATTAGCTGTGTCATTGGCAAATGAAGGGTGTAGGCAAGAGAAGGTGATCAAGGGGGAGGGAATACTTTAAAACACATTTTTTTTTTCATTAGGTAAAAAGAAACAATAAAAATGCTTGGATTCTAAAATGAGAAAGATGACACAAGAATGGATTAGGGAAGTGTACAGTTACATGACACTCATCCACAGCCCAATTTTTCACATTAAGGCAGGCATTCATAACAAATTACTGTATTTTGAAAGCACAATAGAATTTATTGTGAGATAAACCAACCAGGTTCTTCCCCAGCAGGAGAGGACTTGTCTGGAAACTTCTCAACTCAGTCATTTGAGAATGCTGAGGGGATCGAATTCTGGTCCCACTCAGCTCTGTACACCATAGAAACTTTTTCTCCTTTTACCTGCTGATTAATTTATGTTGATGTTCATTAGCATTAGTTACAAGACTATGCTGAAATATAATGTTAACAGGAATACTTTAAGCACTGTAACCATGAAATAGTCAAGTGACCCTTAGCACACTGTTTTCTTTCCTCTCAATTAGTCTGTCTCTGGTTGAATAAGCTCTCTACCACTGGAAGTTAGAATTTGAAGTTACAGACTACTTAATTAATTTGAGTGAGCATTAGTCTGTAAATACTTGGGAGCCAATATTGTTTGGTTTTAAGGAAAAGCATGCACTTTATATTAGTTAAAAAACACACTGACAAGGGCTTGCATTATGGTGTAGAAGGTAAAGCCACTGCCTGCAATGCCAGTATCCCATATCAGTACCGGCTGCTCCATTTCCAATCCAACTCCCTGCTGATGCTCCTGGGAAAGCAGCGGCGGGGATGGCTTAAGTCCTTGGGCCCCTATACCCACATGGCAGACCCAGAGAAAGCTCCTGGCCTGGTCCAGCCCTGGTCATTGTGACCATTTGGGAAGTCAACCAGTGGATGGAAGATACCTCTCTCTCTCTCTCTCTCTCTCTAGCTCTTTCAAATAAATAAATAAATCTTAACAACAACAACAAAAAAAAACCACTCTGATCACTTTTAACTGGAGCAAATCAAAGATAGGTCACTCTTTTTATCCTCCCAGAAATATTGCAGACTTATATTTTATAATGGATATGAATTTTTCTAAAAGTTGCCATCCTTTTATTAAAAGGAAGCACCTGAATACCACATGAAATATAAAATTGTCAGTAGACAAATTAGAATTAGTGAACCTAGTAAGTGGAGAATTGCAGTGATATTAATATGAAGACAAAGTGACCGACCTAGTAGTGAGAGTGGGAAGAAAGATGTTACATAATGGAGAAAGCAAAACTTGATGACCTACTAGACAGGAGGGAACTGCAGAGAAATTAAAGATGAATATTTCTTATTTTACTAGAATAAGGATAAGCTTAAAAATATAAGTCAGGGTAGCAAGCAAAATTTGGAAAATAGGATTTGGCATTAGAAATGGTGAATGTTAACATTTCGCAAAGTTTCATATCAAATTATCTGGCCAACAAAGCAGGCCAGAAATTCAAATTTGGGAATCACATATAAAAGTGATAGTTGAAAGTAGAATAGATGGGTTTAACAAAAGAGAGGAGTATCACAAACACCTAGAAACAAGGTATATTTATATCCTCTGTCCAAAAATTGTCCCTCACAAATGAGGGGCAGAGTTTTTTCTAGTTGCGGACAGAATCACTAATACACGGTGATCTCTCAGTGCTTTATTTTCATTTGTTTGGAGAAGACATGCTGGCTCAAAATAAACATTTGTATGCAAATTTAGGCTATCTAACAGAACTAAAACTTGGTGAAATAAGATGAGGCCTGAGAATACAGCAGTAGATTTTTAGGCCATTGATTAGAGACATTTCTCCAGAATAATGAGGAAGAAAGACTTTGTGGAGTAGGTTCAGTAGAAGGAAAGAAAAAAAGAGACAACAAACATATATAGAACTCCTGGTGAATTTTACCATAAAGTAGTGCCAAGAAGTAGAATATAAGATCTTGGGACATGTTCATTGATTGTTTTTTATGTTTTAAGAAATGATATTGTAGTTTTCTGTATACTGATAAGAATGAGCTATAAAGGGAGTAGACTTGTAGCCTAGTGGTTCAGATGCCTACATCCACATCAGAGTGCCTGGGTTTGATGCTCAGCTCCAGCTCCTGACTCCAGCTCCCTGCTACTCTTGGAGTCAGTGGTAATCGCTCAAATGACTGCGTTCCTGCCAACCGTGTGGGAGACCTGGATTGCATTCCGGCTCCCCACCTTAGGCCCAGCCCAGACCCACTCATTGTGAGCATTTGCTCGGTGTACCAGGAGACGGAAGCACTTGTGCTCTCACTCATTTCTCTCATTCTCTGTCTCTCTCTGCCTCTTAAGAGTGAAAAGTAGGAAGAAGGTGATGATGGTTTGAGGAGAAATAAGAAGTATAAAAATGAACTTGTTGAGCATGCTTCCACAGGCCATGAGGTACACGGCTCCAAGGAGTTTTATTCATGAATAGCACCCCTGGAGTTATGCAGTATGGGAGCCCTTTATGGAGAACATCAGCATACAGCTTTTAGATAAATAAAAAAGCCAGTTGTGCTGATGTTGTATAACTGGTTCAGTGCAGCTTGGAATAAAATTTCAGAAATGGCGTCATATTCAGGATCCAAAAAGTACAGTGCCTAAAACAAGTTGGATACACGTGAATACGAAGATTCAAAAAGTACAGTGATGAAACAGTTTGGATACAAGTGAAGATTACAGAGAGTGATTTTTACGTCCTTTGCTTGTTTACCCCTTAAAAGAATTTTGAAAAAGTCTGTACCCCCTTGTATAATTTTAATATGACACCCAAAAAATATACTATAAGTTTAAATAGTTCCAAAGATTATTTTCTGGCATTTTGGCTGAAATATATATATTTTTTCTGGCATTTTGGCTGAGATACATACACACGCACAAACACACACATATGCTTTAGTTGTATTTTCATAAAAATATAGAAACTCAGTTCATTCTATTGAAGTTACAGATGAAGCTTGTTCAGTTAATTCATGGAGAGTGTGTGTCATAAAATCTAATTGGAAAATTCATTTCTCATTGCTAAATGATCCGTCAACTCAAGCTTACTTTTTGTGAGATGAAGTTAAGACTTCATACTTTGCTTTTACACCCTAGGGCCATATACCTTGATAAGATCTAAAATAGATTGGTGAAATAAATACCTTTGTCTTGTAAAGTAGGAAAGACAAGTCATTTTTGGAAAAGGGTTCATATGTAGGTTAGAATCTGGAAATCAGACCTCTTAATAGTTGTACATGCCCAAGTACACCATGATGAGACTTAAGGTTATTCAGTGGTAAATGTACACTAATTTGAAGACCTAATATTCTTAGATACATGGATGATTCTCAAAGTAGTGCTAATGATGATGAAGACATTGGTGTGCTAATTGTTGCCAAAACTGGAGCAAATTTTGTTCATGAAATGGTAGAATAAAGAGAAAAATCGTTTTTCTTAATACATGAAATGTTCTGTGTATGCAGCTGTTTAATTCCTATAATAAATATCTGATTGTTACACTTATATCCCTAGAATTGTATATATTCAGATCATTACACACACACGCACACCCCAAAAAATGGTGTTTTCTCTTAGAAAACAAAGAATAGGATGTTGTGATTTTTGGCCTTATGTCTATCATACAGTGTCACCTTACTGTGTTAGACCATACTGTTCTCTTGAAGAATACTTGAGTTGTAGGGAAGAAGAGCATCAACAAAGGACTACCATTAAGGATCCACAGTAGTTCCCAAAACTGGTCTATCTCTAAGAATTTGAATTTCACTAAGCATAAATACCAAAATTTTACCCTGGACCATTCCAGGACAAAATTTCACGTACTATACACCCCAGGTCTAATATATTACCATTAGTTGTATGTCATTTAATAATGACATAAAATTTTGTATACATCTAGTCTGAGCCAATAATAAAGTTAGAATGTTAGTGATACTAAAAAGATAAAGAACATGATTTCAGTACTTAAATCATTTAATAAAGTACCCTAAAGTCCTAAAATCAATTCACCCAGTTTACTAAAAAATAAAAATAAAAAGAACTTACATATTTCTTTGGAAAAATTCCTAAATATTGAAAAATACATGGATACATGTATTTGGCAGGTAAGAATGTCATGAAATACTTCAAAAAGAACCTTAGTCCACCATATTTAATTTCTTCCCTACCTCTACACCACCATACCACAATGTTTGCTTGCAGTGCACATATCTCATACTAACACAAAGACAACATACAGTGAAGGTAAGGTTTGTAGGGAACATAGAGAAATTTGGAGAAAGAGTTCATCAGAAATATGGAGTCACAAATAGTACTGCTGGAGAAATTTATATTTTGATCATTTAGTGTGATAGTAGTAAGCTGTATTAAATCTAGTTAATTGTTGCATTATGATTCATTATTTTTCTGTTCATAGGGCTTCATTATTTCAAAAATGTTGTGCTGGTGGGATCTCTACAGGATCGCTATGTTCCTTACCACTCTGCCCGCATTGAAATGTGTAAGACAGCATTAAAGGACAAACAGTCAGGTAAGGAAGTAAATTAAGTTATACCTGTAAATTAGCTTTTCCCCAAACTTTTCTTATCAACTTACCTTCTCCTTTCTCTCACCCTCCCCTCTCTTTTTATTTCCTTTTCTACACGCTGGATATTAATAACTCTACGGTACATTTTGTTTCCTTTCTCTCTCAGCAAGCTAGAGTCCACTTAGGGAAAAATTCAGAAAAGTCTTAACCTTTCAAATCAATAGCTAAAACTAGATAAGTGTCTTTTGTTTTAATAATAAGATTCAGTGACTCTGGGGACAGAGGGAGTCTAATGAAGATTTATTTGGACTTATTCCTGTGTAAATATATTTTTTAAATAGCATGGAACCAGAAATCCAACTTGATTCACAATGAAAAGCAAGAAAAGAGGTGGGAATGAAAAGTATTGTTTACTAACTTGTGCGATATCTTTTGAGAAACTCGCAAGCTCTCTGACTGTACTTCCATGTATTGTTGCCTTCTTATCATTTCATCAGAGCTGCATCCTACCTCTCCTCTGAAATTTAATGTCTCCCTTGCTAAAATTCACACATTCCGTGGGTAGGTTAAACCATCTTTTAGTGATAAGAGTTGTGCACAAGCATTGTAAACAATATTTTGCCCCTTATCAGGCAGCTTGTACATTTCTATGTATGTAAATCTAGTCTTTATCTTTTAAGCTTACCATCAACTCATTAAAGTCATTGTAAGAATGACATTTTTGAATTAAAAGCAGACCCATATATTAAATAAATCTTCTGACTATAGAATGAATCTTGTTTGTTCTTTGAGTAGAGCCAAATTCACATTGTTCTTATTTAGGAAGTTCTATTCTTTCTCAAAATAATTTGTAAATGTTGACTGCCATACAAACACTGTTAAAGTACTTGCTGTAGACTTTTTAATGTCTCACACTAGCCAGCTTATTTTCATAATTATTTAATAAGCTATAAGTAACTTTATGTGGAAGAAAATTTATTTACTTTATTGTATGTCTTGCCTTGAGTTGAAACTATCAACTCGACAAGAATAGAGTATAATAAATGTGCTGTTTTTACTTGGCCTGATAAATCACATGATTATTCATCTTTTCTATAAGACAGTCTCAAAAATTATAGCTGAAGAAAAGTGAAACCTTTTTAAAAATATCATACTTTTAGAAAAATGTAACTATTTTATAAATAATATAAAAGTTGACATAGAATTTTTTTCAGTTACTCATATGAACTAATTTTCCTTTTTCCTGTTTATTCCATAGGACAGATATATTCAGAAATGATTCACAATTTGCTTCGCCCAGTTCTGCAAAGCAAGGACTGTAATTTGGTTCGATATAATGTCATCAATGCATTGCCTAATACAGCTGACTCACTTATTGGGAGGGCTGCACATATAGCTGTTCTGGATTCAGAAATATTTTTGGAAAAATTCTTCCTGGTGGCTGCCCTCAAATATTTCCAATAGAATAAAAATATTATTAGAGACTTGACAATTACCTCATTCAACAATGATTCAAATAATGTATTATATTAAAATGTAGATATGAAGTTCTAAGAAATATTTATACCTTTTTATATGGAAGATAATTTATATCATCCATGTTTAGAGCTTTTTAAACATCAACTTTACTTTCTAGGTAATGTGGCTGTGCAATATTTTTTTAATTTTATCTTTTTACTTTTCTATTACTTTTTCATATATTTTGCTACCTAAGTTTTTCAGTGAAACTTTAAACCCCTATATATGTCTGATTGTTTATTATTGGCTTTCCACACTCTATGTGTCAGATGACATCATATTTGCCATTGTTGCTAGAATAGCATGGGATTTTAAATTTTCTAGTATTGGGATATTGTTCAGTTAGTTATAAATTTTACTTTTAACATTTTACTGCATTTTAACTGGAAATTAAATTATGGCTGCTAAACTATATTTTTTGAAATCAACTCCTTTAGTCCTAAAGTAAACTTTATCATATGATCAAACCAGGTAGTTCATATATGATGTCATAAAAGTTTTCTATAGTCATTACTGTTCTGTTAAATATATGTCATGCCTATTAAAGTATATTTTCTACTGGTGATTTCAACATTATTTCTCATTGACTTTTACTACTGGAACTTTTCATGTTCATACTGGCTGCATATAAAGATTTTTGAATGTCTGAATGCCCTCTGCCTTGATTTGGTTGGAATTTTGCTAAATTTGGTAATGTTGCTTGAACTTTCTGACTATATTTCTTTAACTTTTGTCATGGACTTCCTTTTATGTACATAATAAGTAAATGTTGAAATTTATGAAAATCTTTTATGAATTTACTTTTTAAATGTTAAAATTTATTGAATTCAAGAGTAGTGTAAATAAAATAATTCACATTGAAAATGAAGCAAAGTGACTTTACATGTTTGGTGATAACAGATGCAAATGTTTTTGATATATGGAGATATATAGAGTCTTTTGACTTTACTAAAGGTGCTGAATAGCATAAAATTCACTATTTCCCTTCCTGTTCTACTTGTGAAACTAATGATGCACTAAGGATGGGTGGAAGGTTGTTGCATTCACCACGTCTGGTGGACAGAGGTTTTGTAATATGTATTGTATAATTGTTGCATGTTTTCTAGCATCATGTTATTGCCTCGTGTTAATAAATGAACAAATGACTGTTTGGAGGAACAGCTAAAATGCTTGTAATCATTTGCTTATTCTCAGAATACTAGAGATAAATTTATTTATAATTGGTAGTACCATATTAATTAACTCTCTATATAGACCAGTATAAAATTAACACTTATATAACTTGAAAATACTTGAAAATTCCATAAACTAAACAATAATATACCAAGTGCATTGTATCTGGAAGATATAATTATATCCATCCTTGTATTTTTGTCACAGACATTTTTCATTTTCATAGATCCTGGCTGTGGGTTTGAAATAGCATGCATATTATAACTTTGGATGACTTCCAGGTTTGTCAGAGGACTCGTTCTTACTCCTAATAATATATATAAAATTTAATGGTAAATTACTCTTAGGATCATAGTTGGTTGACTGATTGTTGCTTATTTTAATACAGTTTTAAAGGCATATCAGTGATCATCATTTACAATCGGACTTAACATCTGATTTAGAAGGGAAGCCATCATATGCTGTTCACCTCTGAATTCAGATTATGTGTGATTGAGGAAAGCAAATAATGATCTGAAATAGGGTAATGGAGATAGAATAGTAGGATAATGGAAATAGGATAATAGGTAGAGAATGCATTTCCTTGAAGTATACCAATAAGGAGTCTTGGCTGCAGATAACAAAAAGCAATTTTGATTACCTTAAGCAGAAAAAAGTTTATTGGCAGAATATCGGGTAGTTCATAGAATTGGACAGACTGGAGAAACAGGTTCCCAACAACAGATAGAAACCAAGGAAATCGAGATGACCAAAATCATAGCTGAGTTCTGATTTCAAGACGACCTAGAGAATGGTGTATACTGCTGGCAGTAATCCTCCTGAAAACTGGGTTGGCTCAAAATACTTACTGTTTACTTACACCAGAATCAAAATCTAGTGGGAGTGTCCAGCTGACTGAAAAGTCTTGTGTTGCTCTGACATTTTGTCATCAAAGATTGTCAAGTATTTGTGTATGTGAGCCTCTCAGCTTCCACAGTAGAAAATGAGACAGTGTCTTCTACCAAGATACATCAAACAGGAAATTAGTTTGATGACATCATCAAATATAAAAACATAACAAAGGGCTAATATAATTCATATTTTTATCTTTCTAACATCTGCATGTACCATCCTCCCAGTACACATATTTATTTTAAATACTGCCCCCTGGGGCCGGCGCTGTGGCACACTAGGTTAATCCTCCACCTGTGGTGCCGGCATCCTGTATGGGTGCCGGTTCTAGTCCCGGTTACTCCTCTTCCAGTCCAGCTCTCTGCTGTGGCCTGGGATGGCAGTAGAAGATGACCCAACTGCTTGGGCCCCTGCACCTGCATGGGAGACCTGGAAGAAACACCTGGCTCCTTGCTTCAGATCAGCGCAGCTCCGGCTGTTGCAGCCATTTGAGGTGTGAACCAACGGAAGGAAGACCTTTCTCTCTACACTCTCTCTCACTGTCTGCAACTCTACCTGTCAAATAAATAAATAAAATCTTTAAAAAAAAAAAATGCTGCCCCCTGATGTAATATCTATCCAACATCCAGCTTCAAATTTTAAATCTCAGTGAAATGTCTGCTGGTTCTGTAATGATGTTGCCTCAATTGTTTACAACCTGTAGGCAAAATTGTGACTTAACCACTAGCCCTGTACTCAATAATAGTATAAGACAGGAAGAAAAAATATTGACATGCATGAGCCAGTAAGTAAATACAGAGCAGTGTGCTGCAAGCTTCCTTGGTGAGAATCTCCTGGACTCCTTGTTAAAAATACAAATTCTAGGGCCCCATTACAGACTGAATCAGAATTTCCAGGCTAGCATATAGATAGACGATGCCCAGACTTCTCTGGTTAAGGGGCCGGGGGGGGGGGGAGACTATGGTAAATACAGTTCTCAGTTCTGCTACTGATCTTAGCTCTAGATGGTTAGAACTTGGCTGCTAATTGGTCTCTGCCACGACCACCTACTTGCCATTTCCTCCATGTTCAACCAGCACTTCAGCTGATCAGATTTCTTTAGGGGATGTCCTGAGGTATTCATGATCCTGTCTACATACAGTTACGATAGTCCTTCCTTCATTTTTACATTTTGAAGATTTATTTATTTGAAAGGCAGAGTTGGGGGGGGCGGCGGGAGGGTGTCTTCCAACCACTGGTTCACTCCCCAAATGGTTGCAATGGGCTGCAGCTGAGCCGATCTGAAGCCAGGAGCCAGGAGCTTCATCGTCTCCCACGTGGATGCAGGGGCCGAAGGAGTTGGGCCATCTTCTGCTTTCCAAGGCCCTAGCAGAGAGCTGGATTGGAAATAGAGCAGCCAGGACTTGAACTGGCGCCTATATGGGATGCCAACACTGCAGGCAGCAACTTTACCCATTATGCCACAGTCCCACTGTGCACCCTTTTTAAAAAAAAAAAAAAAAAGATTTTGGGGCTGGCATTTTTGCCCACTAGGTTAAACTGCCACCTGCAATGCCAGCATCCCATATGGGCACCAGTTCAAACCTGTAACAAAAAAGAGAGACATAGATTTTCCCTCTGCCAGTTCACGTTTGTGGCCACAATGGCTAGGACTGGGTCAGGCCAAAGCCAGGAGCTCAGAACTCCATCCTGATGTCCCACGTGAGTGGCAGGGGCCCAAACACTTGGGCCATCTTCAGCCACTTTTTCAGGGTCAGTAGCGGGGAGCTGGATCAGAAGTGGAGCAGCCAGGACTTGAACTGGCACCCATATGGGATGCCAGCATTGCAGGCAGCAGCTTACTCCACTGTGCCACAATGTTGGCCACAACTTAGCATGGTATTTTAAAAATAAATATAGCATGTGAAGAGATATCCAGATGCACTACTAACTGTATTCCTCTCCCTATTTCCTGAGTTCTAATTGTACTCTTCTCCCTGTTTCTTTTTTCCTACCATAGTCATCAGGGCCAATCACCAGCTAGCACCATGATCACTTTTTCTGACTTCCTTACTTTAAGATAGAAGCTAAAAATGTGAAGTGGCAACTCCAATGTCCAATTTAAAAAAAAAAAAATCCCTTATGAAAGTGTTCCTCCTCTGGGTACAAAAACTATTACACCAACAGACCCTGAAATCATGGAAATGGGTTATGAGAGCAGTGAGTGGATCAGAGTTTAGCCTACTTGCAAGCCAACATGTTTGCCTCCTATTTTGCATAGTTGCTCACATCCTGGGTAAGAAACAAGTAGCTCTATTATCAGCACATTTGCATCAGTTCCTGGAGCCCTATTGCCACAGTGTGTGCTGCAGAGGGCCTGATGACACCTGCCCTCATGGTGAGTTGCATTACAGGGAGAGTCACAGCCAAGGACCAAGCAGTTTTTGAATAAGTTATAAATAAGCCACTCTCCATCACGGCAATTTATTGGCAGTAGTTCTATAGTTGCCTTGCCCTACTTGGTTGCCTAAATGACCAGGTGTAGAAACTGCTCAGTATCAGGTTCAGTTGGTCCTTGCAGAGTGGCCCAATTGACAATAAAATACAGGGATACTTAGGACCCATGGCAGACTCTTTTTTTCCCACAATGGAAAGAAAGATAACATGGGCATTGTGGTAGATGTAACAGCCAATCTGTCCTCTACTCTGGCTTCTGTTAATCTGTCAAGAGAAGAGGTATCACTGAATACTGTTAACTTATTTGGGGGCATATAACATATTTTAGGATATAATCTCAAAGTTTATTTTCCTACCTAGTTGCAACACTAAACCCTCAGTTGCTTCTGGATGGTGAGCTACTTGATAAAACTGGGGATATTTGTGTGTATGTATCAGTCCCTGCTAAACATTTTTGCAGGAAATGAGTTCTTTGTTGGAAGCAAGGTTGTATGCGATGTTGTATAAGGGATATGAAGTATAAAGAATTCAGTAAACTCAGAGTATATTAAAGAAGCATAAGGGGCCACTGCTGTGGCGTAACAGATTAAGCCGCTGCCTGCAGTGCTGGCATCCCATATGGGCGCCGGTTCGAGACCTGGCTGCTCCACTTCGGATCCAGCTCTCTGCTATGGCCTGGGAAAGCAGTGGAGGATGGCCCAGTCTCCTTGGGCCCCTGCGCCTGAGTGGGAGTCCCGAAGAAGATCCTGGCTTCAGATTGGTGCAGCTCCAGCCGTTGCAGCCAACTGGGGAGTGAACCAGCGGATGGAAGACGCCTCTCTCTCTCCTCTCTCCTCTCTCTCCTCTCTCTCCTCTCTCCTCTCCCCCCCTCCTCTCCCCCCCTTCCCCCTCTCCCCCCTCTCTTCCCCCTCTCCCCTCTCTCCCCTCTCTCCCCTCTCTCCTCTCTCTCCCCTCTCTCCTCTCTCTCTGTGTAATTCTGAATTTCAAATTAATCCTTTTTTTAAAAAAAGGAAGAAGCATAAGTCAGGGAAAACAGACAAGCTGCATGGATTATTCCTATGAGAATAAATTGCTCCCTCTTTCCTGTTAGCAGGATTTCATTGTAATTGTATCTGCCACCTAGGCTACTAAACAGTATCAGGGAAGAAAGCTGGTCATTGTAATTGTCCAATGGTGACCTTGCAGAGGAAAGAGGATGTTAGAATTAAATGTATGTCTCCATTCTTTGCACCATGGCTACCTTGTTAGTGGTTCCGCTGAGAAAATTCAGCTGTGGTAGGAGTCGTCTGACTGATGGGCCATTGCGGCAGGCAGCCCTTGTGTAATCACCTCTCAGAGGGGATTGGACCTGAAGATAGAATAAGAAGTAAGATGCTACTACTGCGATTAGATTACATAACAGTCATGCCTTCCATTTGAGGTGATTTTGTGGAAAGGCAGCTGCCATGTTGGGAGATGATTTTTGGAGAAACCCACGTGGCCAGGAACTGAGAGAAGTCTGCAGTCCAAACTAAATCCTGCAAATTATCCTGTGAGTTTGAAGGTAGATCTTCACCTACTCCTGACTACTCAAACACACTGGCTGCAACTACATCTTAAGACCTGAAGCCAGAGTCTGCTCAAGCCAGGGACTGTGGCTTCTGGATTCCTAACCGCCCCCCCCCCCAAAAAAAAAGAGAATAATTATTGTTTAGATCCACAAAATGTTGGTATAATTTGTTAAACAACACTATTTAATTTATAATCTTATTCTGATGATGAGCCCTTTGGGGAGTCTTTTTTGAACATTCGGTGGGACCCAAATGCTCATGCTTTGGGACCGATTTGAGAGATCCTCTTCCAAAACCTTTCCTTGTCCCTGACTAGCTGAATATGCCACTCCCTGCTGCCTGTGAAGTGATGTAGATCTTTATCTCAAGCCAGATCACCATCTAGGGTAAGGTGTAGATGGTAAACCAAATTCTGCCCTCCGGGGAATTTTTTTTTTTCCTCCCTTCTACTGTGCCTTGAGGGCCATATTTTTTTTTACTTTCATGAGTGATGACAGGCAGAGTGGACAGTGAGAGACAGAGAGAAAGGGAGAAAGGTCTTCCTTCCGTTGGTTCACCCCCTAATGGCCACTGCGGCCGGAGCACCGCGCTGATCTGATGGCAGGAGCCAGGTGCTTCTCCTGGTCTCCCATGGGGTGCAGGGCCCAAGCACTTGGGCCATCCTCCACTGCACTCCCTGGCCACAGCAGAGAGCTGGCTTGGAAGAGGTGCAACCGGGACAGAATCTGGCGCCTCGACTGGGACTAGAACCCGGTGTGCCGGCGCCGCAAGGCGGAGGATTAGCCTATTGAGCCGCAGCGCCGGCCCCCTTGAGGGCTTCTAAACACCAAACGCAATCCATTGTGGGCTGAATAGTTTAGTGAGCTGAATAGTTCAGTGAGCAAAACTATTGAGAATACAGCTTTGGTTTTTTTTTTTCCTCTGACAATTGTGCTCAAGAAATGCATTAACTTCAACACCGGGAGTCACTGTGCACCTATTCCCCATGTAGGACCTCTGTCCTTAATGTGTTGTACTATGCGAATTAATGGTAAAACTACTACTCAAACAGTACTTCATACTTTGTGTGTCTGTGTGGGTGTAAACTGTTGAAATCTTTACTTAGTATATACTAAGTTGATCTTCTGTATATAAAGATAATTAAAAATGAATCTTAATGAAGAATGGGATGGGAGAGGGAGTGGGAGATGGGATGGTTTGCAGGTGGGAGGGAGGTTATGGGGGGGAAGCCACTATAATTCAAAAGTTGTACTTTCGAGATTTATATTTATTAAATAAAAGTTTAAAAAATATTAAGGCAGAGTTGAGAATAGCAGTTTAAGTTGTAAAGTTCTGCAGATGAAAAATAAAATATTGCAAAGGTTTTTTTTAAAAAAACAAAAAAAAGAAGAAGCAGCGCATTAACTAGAAGGTATAAGGCAAGGATCAAAATCATGAGCTTAGGAGTGTGAGCAGCCTGCTAATGAAAGTTACCTTGGTTTTGCCTCTGGGCCTGTTCTGAATGCACAAGTCCTCTTAGGGAAAGAATTCCTTATCTAGGAGGACCATAAAACTTGCAGTTCATAAAGAGAAAGAGTGCATAGCCAGCTAACTTCACGTGGTCAGACACTATCAAGGCCTAATAACAGAATTTTTCTAAAAGGAAGAAAGGTTATAGAATTCTGAGGACCACCACAGTGATCTCTAAACACTTCCACAGCTTACATAGATCTGCCAGGAGAGCTCTGGACACCACAGGAAGCTTTGGAATTTCGGAACCAATTAACAGAATTCCTTGTACTGTGGCCTAGTGCAGATGGAGCGCCTTCTCTTGCTCCAAAATATCGCCTTTCAGGTCAAATGGCCAATGAAACAGAAGCTCCTTGAGCAGCCAGAGACTTAAAAATAAAAGAAAGGTAGAATGTGGTAAGAGCAGCATATTACATGAGGGGAAAAGGATTGTAAAAGGGGCTGGATCATTGTATACTTGTAACAGGGATCAACCAGGAGGCCTTTGGCCTCAAACTGAGCGACATAAATGGAATTTTTCCCTCATCTAACTTCTGCTGTTACTTTGGATTTAATCAACATAGGGTTCAGGGAAGCCGGATGGTCCTCGGTAGGCAGCATTGCCACTCCTTTCTGTAGCCAGGAACGGATGCGAGCCGGACCGCACAAAGCCCCGCCCCGTGAAAGCCCCGCCCCCTCCGGGGCGGTCGCCCGCTCAACCCCCGTCCCACCCTTGCGCCTGCGCAAACGCTGCGGGAGTCGCCGTCATGACCGCATCAAGACTCGCCGGATTGCTCGGGCGCTCCCCGGCCACTGCGTGGAGAGCGGCGGCAAGTAAGAGGTCCCGCGGCGGGGCCAAGGTCGCGGGCTGGGTCGCGAAGGCGCAGGTGCCGCGAGAAGCGTCGTGCCCGGCGGAAGCCGTGTGTGAGAGGGCGCTGGGGGTCGCCGAGCTTCCCTAGTGTCCAGCTGTGCCCCCGGTGCCCTGGTTTTCACGGCCACTGCTCTGGCCGGAGGCCGCAAGCACTGTGGGTGGTTCATGTGGGATCTGGAGGGCGCACTGCACTGACACCCTTGACAGAGATGGAAAAGTTAGTCTTTTGGGAATCAGTCGCCCATTTACTTTTAAATTTGTATCAAAAAGAATTTAGCAGTTTACAGTATAAGAAGAATTGGGAAAGTAAGAAGAGGGCCAAAGGCAAATAAACAAATACAATAAAAGTTAGATGACGCCAGGAATTAGTATAGAAGCATTCTTGCTGTCAGTAGAAATCAACCGTTTTTAAACCCATTTTACTGGAAATTTCTCAATTTATCTTTGAATTAGTTAGCAACCAGCGGTGTGCTAAATCTAATTTTAATTGATGACGTCCCGAAGAAATGATGTGCTTAAGTTGATAACAGAAATGCCCTCGTAGTACATGGCCCCAGTAGCGGCTGTGCCGTTTGTTTTCCTGTCTATAATCATTTCCCTCAAATGCAAACATAGTACCTGTTAGTTGTAAAAATTTTAAATGATTCAGAAATTAATAATCTGGAAAGTAAAAGCCTCACATTATCCAAATCCCTAGGTAATAACTGCTTAAAATAGTGTTGTGTTCATCCAGCATCCATTTGTAATAGTTTCAGAAATTATGAAGTATTTGATACCATATATGTGTGCATATACATATATATATACACGTACATACCACATGTGTAGTTATGAAGCAAAACCATCTATGAACTCATTCTCAGTTTTAGGAAAGTCTATATCCGTTGCTAAGGAGTTTGCTGATACAGTTGTTTAGTGTTATGTTTTTGATCTTTATAGAAATGATTTCATATTGTTTGTATTTATTTTTTTCAGCTTATCCTATGTTTTGAGATTGCATCGTATTGATGTGTGAGATTGTAGTTACACATTCAGCTACACTGTCACTCTGCCTTTCAAGTAAATAAACAAATCTTTTAAAAATAAAATACAGTGCACCTGCATGTTCAGTCATTCACTTTGCTATGACAGGTAATTTTTAATGAGCAATTACTTACAAATTTTTTTTTTTAAGATTTATTTATTTATTTGAAAGTCAGAGTTACACAGAGAGAGGAGAGGCAAAGGGAGGTCTCCCATCCGCTGGTTCACTCCCCAGTTGGCCGCAACGGCCAGAGCTGTGCCAATCCAAAGCCAGGAGCCAGGAGCTTCTTCCAGGTCTCCCAGGAAGGTGCAGGGGCCCAAGCACTTGGGCCATCTTCTGCTTTCCCAGGCCACAGCAAAGAGCTGGATTGGAAGAGGAGCAGCAGGGACTCGAACCGGCGCCCATATGGGATGCCAGCACTGCCAGGTGGTGCCTTTACCCACTATGTCACAGCACCAGCCTCTACAGTTTTATTGTAATCATGTTTAATCTTTATTGCTAGTACTTTGTGGTCTTGCATAAGAGAGTCTTACCTATGTTGAAGACAGATTCTCTCATATTTTCTTCTCAAAGATCTATAATTGTGTTTTTCAAATTTTAACCTTTTTTTATACAATAAATAAATTTTTGTGTGTGGTATGAGGCAAAAAAACAATTTTACTTTTTCCCGTGTTGTTAATTTGTTACCCTAGGTCATATATTTATAGGACCTTGCCCGCACTGATGTCTTCAGCTGTCATAAATCAAGCCTACAGGCATATGCATAGGTTGGCACTCTTCAGTTCCTTTGATTGCTCTGTACCACCTGTTTTAATAACCATACTTTTAAAATCTTGATATCTGGTAGGAAAGTCCCATCTTTTCTAGGGGTGCATTGGCTATCGGGTGTTTTCCATGAAAGTTTAGCGTTATGTTTTTATTTATTTATTTTTGCTGTCAAAGAACACTTTAAAAACAAGCAGTAGAGTTTGAGACATCAGGCTGCACATTATGGTTTTTTGTTTGTTTGTTTTGTGGTTTTTTTTTGTTTGTTTTTTTTGTTTGTTTTTTTTTTGGACAGGCAGAGTGGACAGTGAGAGAGAGAGACAAAGGTCTTCCTTTGCCGTTGGTTCACCCTCTGGCTGCGCTGATCCGAAGCCAGGAGCCAGGTGCTTCTCCTGGTCTCCCATGCGGGTGCAGGGCCCAAGCACTTGGGCCATCCTCCACGGCACTCCCTGGCCACAGCAGAGAGCTGGACTGGAAGAGGAGCAACCGGGACAGAATCCGGCGCCCTGACCGGCACTAAAACCCAGTGTGCCGGTGCCGCGAGGCGGAGGATTAGCCTATTGAGCCATGGCGCCGGCCGCACATTATGTTCTTAAGAGGAAAAAAAATCCTGTTGAGATTTGATTGATATCACTTGATTTTTTTACAGTTAATTTTTGATTGATGTTTATGTTTAGAAGCAGAGTTTACGTCTTTATTGATTTTATGTCCAGTAACATAACTAAGTTACCTATTTATTTATTCAAGAGCCGGTGTTGTGGCATAGCAGGTAAAACCTGCATCTTGTAATGCTGGCATCCCCCCATGAGCGCTGATTAGAGTCCCAGGTGTTCTGCTTCAGATTCCAGCTCCCTGCGAATGGCCTGGGAAAATAGCGGAAGATAGTACAGGAGATTGGGCCCCTGCACCCAGTGGGAGACCCCAGTGAAGCTTCTTGCTCCTGACTTTTGCCTGGCTCAGCCCTGGCAGTTGTGGCCTTTCGGGGAGTAGACCAGCAGATGGAAGATCTTTCTGTTTGTCCCTCTTTCTCTCTGTAATTCTGCCTTCAAGTAAATAAAATATAATCTTGGGGCTGGCACTGTGTCACAGCGAGTTAAAGCCGTGGCCTGAAGCGCTGGCATCCCATATGGTGCTGGTTTGAGTCCCTTCTGCTCCTCTTCTGATCCAGCTCTCTGCTATGGCCTGGGAAAGCAGTGGAAGATGGCCCAAGTCCTTGGGCCCCTGCACCCATGTGGGAGACCCGGAAGAAGCTCCTGGCTCCTGGCTTCGGATCGGCACAGCTCTGGCTGTTGTGGCCACCTAGGGAGTGAACCAGTGGATGGAAGACCTCTTTCTCTGTCTCTACCCTTCTCTGTAACTCTTTCAAATAAATAAAGATGAGTCTTAAAAAAATCTTTAAGACCATTTTTTTTTATTTGCAGATTTTGGAGGAGGTTGCTAGAAAGATACTCATTTATCTGCAAATAGTGACAGTCTGGTTTCTCATTTTCTAGTTTCTACATGTTTCTTTTTTTTTCCTCTCTCTCTCCTATTTTCCTGTCCTTGATCAGCTTTCCAACAGTAATGATTCCAGAAGTAATGATAGCAGGTTATATTGTTTGATACTGTAAAGGGAATGTGTTTGTGTTTTATCAGTGAAGTGTGGTATTGGCTATAGACATGGCTTTTTTAGGCTAAGGAAATCCCCTTTTATTCCTAGAAGGGTCTTTTGGATTTTTTTGTTTATGAACTTGTTTTTTAAGACTAAGTAAATTTTGAGATTTACTGAATTAGTTTGTCTTCATCTTACTGGAATGGTTATATCAATTTTCTTCTTTAATCTTGTTAGTTGATGAGTTACAGATTTTTCTGGTGGTGAATCATTTTTACATTCCCATAAAATACTCTGATCGTGATGATTTTTCAACATTTTATTTAGAAATTGACCTATAAGCTTGCTGTCTTAGACTTTTTCATTTCTGATTTTAAAATTAAGATTATTCTAGCCACCTTTTTCCTTCTCTGTTAGACTTTTGTTGGGATTGGAATTATCTGTTCCTTAAGTCATTGTTAAAGCTCAACTGCAAAACTATTTAGATGTGCTGTTTTCTTTAGGGATGATTTTAAAGTACTAATTTGATTTGCATAGGTCATTCATTTATCTTCCTTTGAGAAATGTCTATATCTGCTGCCCATTGTAAAAATATTTTTGTTTATTTTTTATTTGAAAGACAGAGAGAAAAAGACAGAGGTCTTCAATCTGCTGGTTCATTCGCACTTGGACTATTTGGGTTTTGGTTGTGTTTACCATTGAGTTCTCTGAGTTTTATATATATGTATCTCCCATGCTGTGGTTCTCTCTCTCTTCCCCATGGATTGTCTCCCTGGCTGTGCAGAAGCTATTGAGTTAGATGAATTCCATTTCTATGCTGCTGCTTTTGTGCTTTTGGAATGTGATCCAAAAATCCTTGCCCATTACAGTGGCTTTTTTTTTTTTTTTTAAGATTTATTTATTTGAAAGGCACAGGAATAGAGAGTGAGCAACAAAGAGAAATCTTCCATCTTCTGGTTCACTCCCTAAATGTCCCCAACAATTGGGGCCAGGCTAGGTGGAAGCTAGGAGCCAAGATCTCTATTTGAGTCTCCCATGTGGGTAATGGAAACTTAAGTACTTGGGTCATTATCTACTGTGTCTCAGGCACATCAGCAGGAAGCTGGATTGGAAGCATAGAGTAGCAGCACTCTAACCAGGCATTCCTGTATGTTGCAGCTTACACTATTGTACCACCATACTCACTCATTCCACTGTCTTGAAGTGTTTCCCTAGATTTTCTTGTAGAAATTTCAAAGTTCCAGATACCACTTTATTTGTTTAATCCATTTTGAGTTGGTTTTTGTGCATAGTGAGAGACAGGTGTCTAGTTTTTTTTTTGACAGGCAGAGTTAGTGGGGAGAGAGAGAGACAGAGAGAAAGGTCTTCCTTCCATTGGTTCGCCCCCCAAATGGCCACTACAAGAGGCACGCTCCGCTGATCCGAAGCCAGGAGCCAGGTGCTTCCTCCTGGTCTCCCATGCGGGTTCAGGTCCCAAGCACTTGAGTCATCCTCCACTGCCTTCCCGGGCCACAGCAGAGAGCTGGACTGGAAGAGGAGCAACCAGGACAGAATCCAGCGCCCCAACCGGGACTAGAACCCGG